TACGCAGGTTTTGTTCTGATAGTCCCATATCTTGACGAGGCGGTCGTCGGCGCCGCTGATCAGGTAGGGCTTGTCCCCGCCGTGGTAGTAATCGACGCAGTTGACTCCCTTGTCGTGGCCCTCCAGGGTGAAGTTGGATATGGTGGAGCCGAGCTGCCACACCTGCGGGTCACAAAGAGCGCACATGGTGACCGCGAGTCGCAGCGGGTCGTGTCACAAACAAAGTAACAAGTGAGAACCTTGACGGTGGTGTCGAGACTGGCGCTGGCGAAGGTGTTGTTGTCTTTGGGGTTGATGACGACCTGCATGACGTAGTGCGTGTGCCCCTCGAACACCTGCTGGCACGCCCAGCCGCGGTCCCAGTTCCACAGCTTGATGAGCAAGTCGTCTGTCGCACACAATCACACATCTTACATTTTCTTGCTATGAAAACACATAAGGCTTATCATTTTATAAAAAGAGGTTTTGTGTGTATTACTAACTCTGTATAGGTTGAACCCAACAATCACTCCGTAACACAAAGTAGTAGAAGTTTAAAAACACTTCTACTACTAACCGTAACTGTCAGGTATATAGAAATAAAGATTTCGGTTAATAAAAATATTATCTATCGTGGGTAGATATTAATAAATCAGTTGATACGTGACAGCTGTTTGATTTAACACATCCCGTGCATTAAAAAGACTTTACATGGCGCAGTCGGTAGGATTTAAGAAATTTTAAGTTTTAGTAGTGTAAAACTGTTGTATAGACCGGGTAAAGTGAAAAATAAGACCGTGTAAGAATACAAAGTGTTATTGTATAACAATGAATAACGCGTTACAACCACCACCGCCATTTTGCTTCGAAAATGACTTAGCCAACGTCATGACGGGTAATATCAGCCGGGAGTGGAGCAGATGGAAAAATAGATTTTTAATATACATGAAGGCAATAAAATTGGACAAGGAAACGGCGGATGTGCAAATTAATGTTTTGCTTCATATCGTCGGTGAAAAGTGTCAAGAGATATTTGAACAATTTAACGAACAATTTAGTTCGGCTGAACGGCTACTGGCTAAGTTTGACAATTACTTCAGTGGAAAAAAGAATTTAACTATTGAGAGACAAAAATTTTTTGCACGTAGTCAAGTCGACTGTGAGTCAATAGAACAATACATTAACGAGTTGAGTAAATTGTCATTGTCCTGTGAATTTCAAAACTTAAGTGAAGATCTGGTCAAAGACAGGCTGATTTATGGCATCAAAGACGACGGCCTACGCGAACGACTGTTAAGGGAGCAGGACCTCACGCTTACGAAAACAGTGGAGATTTGCAAGTTAGCAGAAATGTCAAGAGCTCAGGCTAGCTTTATAAAGCGGGACCATTTATTACGCGAGCAAGTGAACATTGAAGAAAATATTCATGCAGTGCAGCGGACCAACCCCGCGACCGGCAGTGTGTGTACATGTGCATGTGGAGGCAACTCGAGTCGGGCCGGTAGCGGCAGGTCGGCGAGACCGACATACGGCGAGCGCGTCGCGCCCGCTGGCGGGCTGCGTGACGGCGGCGAGCGCGCGGTGACGTCATCGCGGCGACCGGCGCGAGCGGCGCAGTGGCAGCGCGGCACTTGCAACCGCTGCGGCACTGCGCATTCCAAATTCGACTGCCCGGCGTACGGAAAGAGATGCAGAAATTGTAATAAATTAAATCATTACGCAAAAATGTGCCGGGCGGGTCGGGTCCATGCCGTGCAGGAGGACTCTTCGGACCGGGTATGGAAAAATTATTTATTTTTTAAGAATAGTGATTGGGTGGTGGATGTATTAATTAATAATTATTTCGCGCTATCCGCAATCTAACGGCCAAGTAGAACGAACTGTACAGATAGTAAAAAACATGCTTAAAAAGACACATTACGACCAAACAGATTTCCGTTTAGCTCTTTTAGAATATTTGAACACTCCGATTAGTGCAGACTTACCTTCTCCAGCTCAACTTTTAAACAATCGTAGTTTAAGAGGGATTTTACCGCGAGCTCCAGAATTTTTGGAACCAAAAGTTGTCAATAAAGATATAGTAAAAGCACAGTTACATAAACGTCAAATATATCAAAAACATTATTACGATAGAACAAGTAAAAAACTGAAGGAATTAAAGCAAGGGGACAAAGTTAAAGTATTTACAAATGGGATTTGGTCAAATGGTTTAATAATAAAAAAAAATAACGCGCGATCTTATTATATTAAGATGTGCACAGGTCGTGTAATAATAAGAAACCGTAGGCACATAGTGAAAGATAGCGAGTATCGCAATGAGTCATACGTGTCGCCGTATGACGCTGATGATTTCAACATCGCCCGCGAAACACAAGCGGCGCGCACCCGTGTCCACGTTCTGGATCCGTCCACCCAATCATTGTTAGGTACAAATCGTGAAAGCAACAACTTATATGTTACGAAATTTGGCAGGACAGTGAGGCCTCCTGATCGGTACAGGTATCCCTAAACAACTGGTAAGATAACGAAAACTAAAACTCAAAAATTTGTTGAAAAGACGAAATGTATATTTTATATTATAATACTTAGAACAATAAGGTAATTAACTAAGCCTTTTGATTTTTGTATTAATTTTTTTTTTGTTTGTTTGCATGGTTTTGTATTTTTATTTTTTCATTCTCTGTTAGTTACATTGCACTTAGTTATATCTTGTCATTTTTTAGTTATTGTAGTTGTTTTTTTTTTTATCTCTTTCAGAAATATTGTATAGATTGTAGGAATAACTTAAGCTGGGGGATGGTTTGCTATTTGTAACTTTTCTTTTAATTTTTATTTATTGTGTTTTATTTCGTATTAAGTTTTTTATTTTTATTATTATGTTCAAACATCTGTTTAAAAGAAGGGGGATGTCAGGTATATAGAAATAAAGATTTCGGTTAATAAAAATATTATCTATCGTGGGTAGATATTAATAAATCAGTTGATACGTGACAGCTGTTTGATTTAACACATCCCGTGCATTAAAAAGACTTTACAGTAACGGTTACACTTTCTGCAATTGCATTATGTAATGTAATTGTTATGGAAATCAATGTCAAATTTTAATTTTTTTTTGATATAAGATGAACTGATTTAAAAGGCAGTTGTTCAGTGAAGAGTAAAACTGTAATATGGGACATCACATACCACTGCTAGTCAATATGTAGGGCAGAGTGGGATGCACCACGATGCACCTCACATAGTCCGAGTGCGCCTCGAAGGCGTGCACTCTCTCCAACGTGTTGTAGTTAAACACCCTGATCTGCATGTCGTCCGAGCCTGTGATCACCCAGTTCTTCCTGGGCACAAACTTTGCAGCCCGCACAGGCAGGTCGCACACCTAACACAATACATCAAACGTTGAATACATTCCTACCTACCTATTAACAATAGTAAGCATTGGTTAACTTGAACAGGCTCTATTTATGAACAAAACTGGTAAATGGCAAAAAAATGATTTTTTGAATGGATAAAATAGTCAATGGTTGCCCTTTGTAATATAGTGTAATAATGTTATGCAATAAATAAACATTACTTGAACCAGGTAATTGTACCTCAAATCTTTTAATCTGTGTGTGTGTCTCATAGTTCCATATGTTGACATCACCGCTATACAGGGAGCACAGCAGCCAAGGCTCTGTGGGGTGCTGGTCCACGCACTTCACGCGGTCACTCCGCGCTGTCAGCTTCCTCTTGATGTCCAGGCGTAATGGCTTAAAAGTTTTAACAGATACTCAATCATTTTGTAAACAGAAAATTGTTATATTACACCAAAGTCATTGCATCAATAGGTTTAGTATGTCACATTTGTAAAGGCTTGAAAAAAAATTATTTGCCAAAACAAATGTCACACACAGATGAGTGACTATCTTGTTGTCGCCAGTAAGGACTGCGGACGGTCGATGGCAGAAGTTTGAAAGTATAACACACAATGCTAAACTGACACATCTCGTTAGTAGTTATCTTATGTTGTTCATAGGCCAACTTTATGCGCAATTAGTTTATATACAAAAATTATTTAGTTTGTAAATAAGATCAACATGATTAGTTTAACTCCAAACAGGCAATGGCAAACATATATATTTGTATGGTGGGCTGTTTTTAATTTCAATTTTTCTTACCATATTTTATTTAAAAAGTATTGCCGCGTTAACCAAACACAGTATTATAAAAACTGTAATCGTGGAACTTGGAAGCCGCAAGCGAGTGAAGCAGGACAGGTGTTTGACGTTTGACAGCAAACGTGTCAACTATGACTTTTATTGACAAATCCGGTTCATGCAGCTATCAGCAGTATACATATTTTGTTCAATATTTTCTATATCTAAAATATACACAATTTGTACACAGTCCTGGAAAATAACAAATAGGAAAAAATATGATCAGCAGCCATAGTCCAACGACAAAGTCGGACTTAATTGACCCAGCGAAAAACGTGCTACTGTATCGGTTAGTTCTGTCAGAAAACAAAGAGTATATAAAATATGCCAGAAAATATGTAAAAACCAAAGAGTATATAAAAAACAAAGAGTAGGTATATAAAATATGGCATATAGCAAAGAGTATATAAAATAAGAGACGGGACTCTTGACTAATTAGATACACAAACGGAGAATAAAAATTGACATTTTCAATGCTAGCAATATTATGAACAAATCTACGTTGCTACCAACCTAAAAAAAATCAATTTGTCAGTTTCCTTTTTGATGTTTGAAAGTATTAGTAATAGTAGCTAAGAAAGAAATAGCTATAAACTAGCTAAATAACTGTTTTTGATGTTTTTTTAGTTAATTGCGCGAGGCCGATTCTCGATAGTTCATAGTTGTTTGTAATGCGTGTACCGTCGACACTGTGACAACCGTTCAAAAAGTACAACATTAATCCTCATACAAAATTAATTCGATATTTTATAGGCGTCAGTTGTCAGACTAATCTATGTTAAATAAACACACTATAAGTATACTCTAGTTAGTAGCCTTTGTCAAACTAAACTATGATTTTTTTTTGTTAACGCGGGGAATGCGTTTATGCACTTCGTCGTCCATGCCGCGGGGGCAGCAGGGGGCAGCAGCAGCAGCAGCAGCAGGGACGGTTTCGTGTGGGACTCCCGGCCTGGGAACAAGACCGGACTACCCACTTAACCCCGCGGTGTTCTCCTACGCCGAACCGGACTGTGGTACCTACGTTAGTTTATCCATGACCCGGCTAGGGGGGAGCCCCTTGGAAGGGGCTCGACTCGTGTAGGGAGGGGTCATATCTTAGACCCCTCTCATCACCCTATGATGAAACCCTCCTCAGAACACTAGAGGAGGGCTATCCGCCACAATCGGCGCGACAGGTCCCCCGACGCGTCGCACGTGGCTTTCCTTAATTTGTCTGTAGGGCCGCGGCGTACCTCGCACGCCGGCGGCCCATCTCTGGAGCCCTGCAGGGCGGCAGCGTCTCGTTGGCGCGTTCGCGCTCCCGCAGGGCCTCTCTTTTGGCCGCCATCACCTCGCGTGCGAAGGAGGCGACGGCGGAAACTAAACTATGATAGCGTCCTTGTTTCACAAGTTCATTTGCTTACTGTAGGTACATTTTTCGCTCACCCCAAATTCGTATTGTCTTCTGTATTAAAATATATTATAAAATATTTTAAGATTTAACAAAAAAAAACACAAAAATTTTAAAAGACATTATTTATTTTAGTTAGTTAAACTTTCATTTCTTTATTACGATTTACGTTTAAATGTACTGTTACTGTATTTCATTGGTAAGGGATATGAAACCGCGTTATTTGCATATTTGGGCCGTTTGAATGATATCGGCCAACAGGAAGAGGGTACATTTACGTTAAAGAGCAATAAGTAACACGAAATGGTAAATAAAACCGTTTGAGTAACAATAAAACAACAAGACTTTTCTAATTATTATTTATATTTTTTTTAACTTCTCGATCCAAACTATTTACATTCTTAATAAATAAGGACATGAGTAACAGTGAATATAATTTAATAAGTCACGCCGGGAACTAGACTAGGGGGTTTACCCCACGCGCAAATCCTTGCTTGTTACCTTGACAGAGTCCTCGTGTGCGCGCACTAAACTACTTTCCGTTTGGCGCAATCCTGGCACACCTCATAACTTAAGACATAACAATAATTATTATCCTATCTTTTAAAATTAGAAAAAATTAAATACAATATATTTTTATATATTTACAATTAAATATGTACCTATTTGTATAATAACTCTTACTGTTGTCATTAATTTGTACGAAGATTTTTTTAATGAGAGTGAACGTATTCATACTGAATCTATTATATATTAACATTATTTTACAGAAACATTCAATTATGTGTGTTATATAAATAATAAGATATTTATGTATCTGCTGTTTTGACTTGTATCATTAAGAAGTTGACACGAGCCTGCGATGTATGAATGTTTGATAGCATTGAACAGTCGCCTTCGCCCGCGGTGATCCACTCAGATAAAGATATCTCTCAAGAAAATCCAGTGGTTTACCTGCACATGTAACATTTGTCGAATTTTATTGTTTCAAGGCGCGTAGGTGTTAGAGTTTTGAACTGTTATAGCTATAATGTATGGAAGATCAACAAGAAACCTCACAAAACTTTGTATCGTTTCGAATTAGTGTAACTTTTCTTGACAATTACTTTAAGTGCTAAGCTCATAAGTGACGTTTGCTTGTTGCTTTGCAAATTTTTAGTGTTTGTTCGAATAATAAAATGAGTGCATGTTGTGACCGAGTCTTATATATAGTTAAATTAATATCCACTCAATCTCTTTGTCAGGTCAAAGTGAGCCGCGCGCTGCGCAGTCCACCTCTCCCGCAACCCAAATCGAATCGATCCATCGGTGTCATTTTTGTGTCATTTGTTTGATCATTTTTTTTACATTTATCAAATATTACAAATATCAATAAAAGAGTCAAACAAAGATGCGCATTATTATCAGATGATGTTGTCAGGCGGTAAGGCGGCGGGGCGCGCTCTCCGTGCGGCGCCTTACGAGCGCACGTCGTTGTCGTCAGGGAGCTGCAGCCGGCGCCGCACCCACTGCAGCATAGCTTCCTGCGGACGCATATCGCTATTATCAGTTTGTGTCTGCCCACTGCTGGGCATGCCTAGTGGGTCTTCCCCCTTGTTTTCCACAGTATGGGATCCTCCGCGTACCGCATCCGACCACTTTCCGCAGTATGTAAGACGTCGTATCACCTCACCTGCACACAAATGCTTACCAAATATTCCAGATTCAGATAAATCAGGCTGGATCGATAAGAAGTATTATTAAAAAGTAAAGGGTGGTGATATGGCCACGCTTTATAATTGTATAGGTTGCAATAGGTCTGTCGAAAAGCATTTGCGAGTTCTTCGGGCAAAAGTGGCCTTACAAGTTACATGTCTTTGTATAATGACATGCAAATTTGATCAGAAGTATATTCTGTTAGCAAAACTAAGATTAAACTAGCTTTTTATTTGTTAGAGAGCGTAGTTGTTATGTGAAAATGTGATGCAATGCGTGTGTAGCACTGCGTTTGTAGCACTGCGTTTGTGCCGGCAGCGAGACGATTACAAGATTGTCGAGCGTGGATCAATATCCATACAATGGATGACCATACCGTTTACCCCAGAGCCATGCACCCTATACGCACGTTGGATAAGCTTTTGCACCTAGGTCAGGGGTGGCGTGATTCAACTTGAGGCATGCAGCGAAGAGCAGAGAGGACCTGTGCTCAGTCCCGGCGCGGGTCGTGATGCGCATTGTCGGTGTAGTCGTCGTAGTCCCGCGGCGCGTCCAGCTCGTCCTCGCGCACCTCGTACTCCTCCGGCTCCGGTTCCGGCTCGCCGTCCTCCGGCTCCGGCTCGACGCCCTCCCCGCGCCCCGCCGCGCTCCCGGCACCCTCCGGCCGCGGCTCCCACACCTGCCCGCGCACCCCATGCCACGCCGTTAGTACACAAACAACACTACTGTTAATGGCACTGCAGTCGGTTAGTGGTTAGCAGCGGTGGGCAGTTATTTCTATTATACCACAAAAAACAGTTATATATATTAGTTTTACATTTGCAACGCTGTCACTACGCGATAGTACTCGCTCGTTTCCGGCAAATGTTGAAAGATATAAGGAGGCATGCGAACGAGATATGTACGTTGGGAGAGGGGCGCACCTTGGCGGGGCGCCAGCCGCAGCCCGGCAGCGGCAGACCGTCGGGACCGAGAGGGCAGGGCGCGTCGAGGCCGGGCACGCCCTGCTCGCCGCGGTCGCCCTTGTCGCCTTTGCGGCCGCGCTTGCCGCCCGGGCCCTGCGCACACGACCGACATTCACTAAACTTATTCATCATCCATTAAGGTAGAGACGTTCGGAAGTCGTAGAGAATTTGGTGTTAAACACTCTTATTTTTTTCGCTTAAGCTATAATATATTTCATTGATAGCAAATGTTATATTATAGGATTCAACGATAGGTGTGCACACGCACATCGTTAGTAAACGTGCAGAAAGTAGAAGTGATTAGCGACAGACCGGTGCGATGCAAACGGCAAGCGGTTAAGGTATAACATGGAGGCGCCAAACTTACCGGTTCTCCCTTATAGCCCTTATCGCCTTTCGGGCCCTACAGAGTGAAAAGGGCAAATTACTACCGGTCGAGGTCACAAATAGCTAGGAATGATAAGAATACCGACCTCCTGCCCGGGAATGCCGTCCGTGCCCTGAAAAAATTAGGAAGGTATGTTAGTAGCAGTACGGCGCATAAAAATTAAACGCGCATCCGACACAAACGGTAGGCGCCGAGGTCCCGGAGTGGACAGGGCGCGGCACGTACGGGTAGACCGGGGTCGCCGCGCTCGCCCTTGCCACCCGGCTCGCCCTGCGCCCCCTGCAACACAGTGCCATGCCCATTGCCTGCGCCCAGTGCCCGGTGCCTGGCGGCGCTACCCCTCGCACCGCCGGCACACATTTTTATTGAAAATTTTGGCTACTATGCGAAGGTATGAACTGAAAAGTCACAGTACATTTAATACTGCGATGCAGACAATGTACTCGGACCGCCTGGGCTGCGAGTCTCGTTCCGACCGTATTACGAAAAGGCTAGTAGGTAAATCTTAACGTAGAGAGATATAAACTCACCTTCATGCCGTCGAGTCCGGGCGGGCCCTGCGGAACAACGGACACATCAGGTCGGTACACATCACTCGCCACTCCGTGCATGCCCATGCTCATGTCGCTCGCATCCGGACCCACCGCGTCAGCCCACGTGCCGCCCGTCGCTCGCCGGCTGGGGGTGCGTGTAGGGCGCGGCTATCGCGCGGGAAGCGTGCGGGCAAGGCGCGGGGAGATCGCGTGGAGGGCGCGGGGAGAGCGCGGCGTCCCGTGCATCGTGCATCGTGCATCGAATCAACATAACGTTTATGCCATGAGGAAGAACTTATAAAAAAAGGAAAAGAATAGACGGATATGCATAGCATGCAACTTTTTATTTTTCTCGAAAATAATATTTGAACAACAATATTTAATGATCTCGCGACTTATGGTACAAATGACAACTTTCATGTAAAAAAACTAAATCTTATTCATAATAAATACAATACAATAGAGGAGTCCAACAGCTGCCCGGCGGAGCAGCTCCCGGACCTTTACAGCAAACTCTTAGCTTAAGGTAAGTCCATATAATTTTGTACATTTTTGTTTATACTAAATCACATTATATAATACATATATAAAATGACAAGTAAGCATTGAAATAACAAACAAATACATAGTACATAGTACGGAACATCTAAATCAGCTTAGAAGTAAATAAAGAGTTAAAAATAGTATCTCTGATAGAAAAGGCCTTAAAGGATTAAAATATTTTTGCTCGTGATATACATATAACACTCATGAAGCGAGTCGAAGTATTATTTAAATATTTACATACATACATACGACAGACGTAAGAATACATAATGAGGAAAGTGGCCGATGCCCGGGCGCGTCGGCGCGACGCGACTACAAAAGTTGCGACGCGTTACGACGATTAAATAAAAGTTAACAGGCGATATACATTTTTGCAAATCTTGAAAGGGACTGCCGGCTCCGCGACTCCGCGACTCCGGGACTCCGCGACTCCGGGACTCCGCGCCGGCGAGCGCGGGCATCGTTACCTTAAAACTTGTCTTACAAAAGAATATATCATATTTATACAAATTCGCAACACTTATGTACTAAATTTGGTAACGACTTAAAATAGAATTCTTAAAGTATGTTTAGACTAGTTACAAATTTTACAATTTACAGTTGTGCGGCAGACGCGGCGGGCTCGGGGGGCTCGGGGGGCGCGGCGGGCTCGGGGGGCGCGGCGGGCGCGGGGGGCTACGCGCGCGCAAAGTCCGGCGGCCAGCGGTTCTCCTGCACCACGACCCGGGTTAGTGCGTCACGCCATGCGCCGGTCCGTCTAGCTACTGCGGTTAGTGGCGGGGCCGTACTCACCCGGGGGCCCGCGGCGCCGGCGGGGCCCGGCTCCCCCGGCGCGCCCGCCTCGCCCGGCAGCCCCACGGGACCCTGCAACGACCATCACTTTATAATGACAGTTATTTAAAATTTAGCCGTCGGCCGCGACTTCAGCCGCTCTGATATTAAAAAATAACGTCATTAGTAACTCATGTCTTCTTCCAGATTATGTACTACATCCATATTGTCAGATAGATAGAATTTTTAAACTGTACCTAGTTAAAGGTTATTCAGATTGACACAATATCTATATTGTTTTTCACAGTGGACTGGAGGAAGCGAGTCGTCCTATGTTACTGTATATGTCCTCTGTCCCCACGGACTCGCAACTAGCTAAATAGGGCCGGGGAGAGGATAACCAAAAATAAAATTTCATCAACGTGGAACACTAACCGGTAATCCCATCGGCCCTGCATCTCCCTTTTCACCTCGTTCGCCCTAAAACAAAATAAAACATTTTAATAATCCAGTATGACAAAAAGTAATTTGATCGCGATATAATCGTGTCGCGCCGCGTCGTGTCGACGTGCGATTTGTAGGTGTACAAATGTCTGGACTGTTTTATGTTATAAGTGTACCGTACCGCCTTGCCGCGCGCTCCCGGCTCGCCCTTGTCGCCCTTGATGCCGGGCGGCCCCGCGACGCCTGGGACGCCCGGCACTCCCGGCGCGCCCGGCGGGCCCATCATCTGTCCACAGCAAACGATCACTTACACACTACTCTAGTTTCGGAGGATGTAAAGCAAATTATGAATTTGTTGAAAAATTCTCAGGTAATCATAAAGGTATGAACATAAATGTAGAAAAGGCGAAAGTTTTGGTATTTGAAAAAGCGATAAAAAAGATACCGGTTTCAACAGAAATGGTAAGTAAAAATGTATAACACGTGGATGAATTTGTTTATTTCTTAGAGCGAGGAGCGTCATCATCATCGTCACATTATTCCACTCCACTCCACTGATGGCCACTGCCCTCCTCCGCTCCTTACTTAATAAAAAATAGAAGAAAAAATCGTACAATTTAAAACCACAGGAATTAATTATAATTTAATAAGAATTCACGTTTACGGGCAAAGTATAGGAAGAACAGAAAATACGATATTGTACAATATAACTATTTAGGGATTCACTAAAACACTCACACTTGCACAAATCACTTTATTTAACGCTTTGACAGCCCAACTACCACGACAAAAAATCATAACAGGTAAGTAATTATGCATTTATATTGCGCGTATTAATTTACGAGCAGCGCCATCTATTGGTGGTTTGCGGAAACAATTGTGGAATTCAGTAAAAATCATTATTACGAACTAAACAGATATCTTCTTATTCTAACCATCCATACCTTCTCTCGGCAAAAACATTCCTCTCGTCCTTTTCTTTTTATATTTTTTATAAGAGAAGAGGGCAAATGAGTGGCGGCAACACCGAGGTGATCACCGACACTTAGAAAAGGGTAGAGAAGGGGGTGAGGACCCGAATTACCTTTCACACCTCACTTCTCGGGCAAAATGCAGAATAACTCACTTAACGCCATGAGAGGAGTCGAGCCGACTCTGCTGCGGGCG